GGAAAGGGGATCAGAATGGTACCTGGGGAAGGCCCAAGGCTTATTTTATGGCATGCCTGCCAAGAAGGTTGTTCCCCACTTGTATAAAACATGAAGGCAAAATGACCAAGAAGATATGAGACAGAGTTAGCCATGTTAGTTTGATGTAAGGCAGAAAGCAGGGTAGAGGCTAGTTTCAGAATGTAGTTTCATGCATAAAAAGCAGGAGAGAAAAACATGGAGACTCATATAGGTGGAGCAGGTGTTTTGCCAGGGAATACATTTCAAATCTTATAAATTGCTTTTTTTTTTAGCCCTTCTAAATTCATGCTGTAAGATAATGTTTTGGGTTATTTTTATGTTAACTTAAGAGTATTAGAGAAGCTAGCTTTGCAGCAAATTTTAAGAAAATCATATAGGAAACAGGCACCACCATAATAAGTGTTTTCTGCTATGTTTGTGCAAAAGTAAAATGTATTAAATTGCAGTTGTTTGGCCCCTTTAAAACATGCAGCTTTTTTGATGGTTTAGGACTAATTAGTGCAATATTATGGAGGAAAAATATATTCAGAAGCATGATTTAATTATGTGATTTTTGTTTTATTTTTTTTGGTAAAAGAAAAAGGTAATTTTTTTTATTCCATGCCACCATCTGCATAATACAGAGCAAACTTTTTCTGGGCTGATTGTTGTGAAGGTGGTTAGGCAGAATCAGATTTCAGCTTAGAGCCGAATTGCCCTTAATGCTTTTCTTTTTCTCTTCCAAACTGCATTAGTGCTGCTTCATGAGAAGATACGGTTACGGTTTAGAAACATGAGAAATCACTAGATATAGATCTGGATCCAGATAAAGCTTAGTCTTAGTAACCAAACTCCTGTTTTTCAAGGGACAGTCAATACTGATTTGCAGGCATGCATTTTGGATAACATGCACCTTTTCTTCCTTAAAACATAACATGGATACTTTTTTGTTATTAGTATATGAAAACAGGCCAGCTATGATGCATATGTATGAGATTTAGTAGGAAATGAAATGCACAAACAATTACAGTTCATTTTATAAGAGGTGGTGTAGTTAATAGAAAATAAACCTAGCAGGCAAGAAATCTGGTTCCCTCAAAGCAGTGAGAGGAAGTTACAAAGCATCTCCAGATGGAACATTAAATACCATTTTTCCCCAGTAATGGGTGCTTTTGGAGATGCTCATTGATTTTTATCTGGAATCCTAAGACACACAGTAGAAGCATTATGTAGTGTAGCAGATGCAATTTTCATATTTATTTGTCATTGTCACTGGTGTATAAAGAAACAAGCATATTTACCGAGACTGTTGAGGTTTTTCAAAGGATTGTTTCCACCACCCCCACTACAAAAGGCTGTCAATGTTCAACCCCCTGTAGCAGGGCCTGGCCCTAAGGCCAGCTGTGCTGCCCCCAGTAGCCAAACATCTGCTGGCCCACTCCAGCTCCTCAGAGTACCCTTCCTTTTCTACCTAGCCTGTCATGCCTCGATGGAGTTTATAGTATTGTGGGAGGCTGTCCCAGAGCCTTAAAGTGAGCCTCTGTCCCTCAGCTGCCTTGTGCTTCACATGCCCAGCGGGCACTAGTCTTGCTCTTAAGCACTAAATTGCCTTAGGGGCCTCCCCCATAGCCACACCAATGGCTTGTGGGTGTCACTCAGTATCAATTCGGACGGGACATGACACTTGGCCCCTCAGGCCTCCAACCTTCCAGCCTTGTTCTTCTTACTCTGGCCGTACCCCTCAGTTGAGGTCCACTGCCCTGGACCTTGGTTCCTGGGCTCCAGCCCTGGTCTCGACCTCTTGGGCTCTGGGCCCCTCGGTCCTTTGGTCTCACTGTTTCAAAGTTCAGCCTCTGATCTTGCCCTCTTGGATTCTGGTTTTGCCCTCTCAGGCTCTGGGATCCATGGCCCTTTCTCTTATGACAGCTCCCTGGGGTCTCTGACCCAAGTAAGGCAGCTCTTGGTCTGCCCAACTCCCCATGGGTCTCTGACCCAGGCAAGGCAGCGTTAGGTTTGGCCGGCTCCCTTGGGGTCTCTGACCCAAGCAAGTTTCTAAACTAGGTGCTCTTTTGGCTCCCTGTCACACTCCCTAGCTAAGCTGCTGCTTTGCATTATAATACATGCCTTCCAATTTTCAATTAAAAGCAAGAACAATTGTTTTCCAAAACACATATGTATTCCAACTGCCTGCCCTGACTCTCATACAAGACCATCAAAAGGAAAGCAGATAAGAGTTTGTCTTTGTGTCAGATCTGAAATTTGAACATTGTTATCAAGGTGTGACAGGAGCTAGTGTAGTGTGGCATACATTTGTGGACTAAGGCCACTCACAGCACACACCAGTATGCTTTTCTTTTCCTATAATTTGTCGGTTTCTGTCTTGTTCATTGCTAACACATCTCTCTAGAAATTTTCATTGTCCAGGAAAGCAAGGGAATTTCTCATTCAGGTAACTTAGTTGAATAATATCACTTCCCATCTCATAAAATTATTTCTGAGCTGTCATAATAATAAAGATTTTCCCTAGATTATTTGTGAACTTCCTTGTCTACTAATATAGTTGAGGCAAACCTTTGCGCGGGTTCATTAGAGGGTCGCTTCAGAATACTCTTTTCTCCTTAGAAAGAAATAGGGAAGAAGCAAGCAAGCTGCCTACTGAGTTTCTGGGCAAAAGCAGATCCCTTTTCATGAGAAAACGTTTGATGCAGAAAAAGTCCTTCTTCATCCCAAAACATACTCCCTATGCTGCAGCACCAGCCCTTTAAAATGCTGGAGGTACCTACCTGAACAAGCTAGAGCCCTGAGAAGGCCAGAGGCAGTTGCCATTAAGGCACCATGCCAAGAGTCAAAAGGAAGACTCTGCTTTTCATGTGTTTCTATTTAAAGAGCTCTGGCAACAGTTTCCCTCCTGGGGGAATCTTTGCCTTTCAAGTCACATGCTTTCAAACAAGGGATTCAAATGTTTAAAAATCAGGTAGAAAATGCCTGATACTGATTTAATGTAAGTATGTTTGAAAGAGATAAGAATCAGACCTAAAGACTTGCTAAATAAAAACTGCATTACCTCCTCCTTAGAAATCTGTGTAATCTCCAATGTGGTGATAAACTGATGATCAGTCCAAGAAATAAAAACCAGAAAAAGCAGAGTAGAGACTTATCCCTCCCTGTATCTTTCTGAGATATCCTAGTCGATTGCAGTATGATTGTAACAGGTGCTTTCCTTATGGCAGAAACATTTGAATTCAGAATCAAAAGTCCTGTGGAAGAAATCCAAAGGTTTGTGTCAGTTTAGTATTATGAGTTGCCAGCTAATGAAGTATTTAGCACCAGTGCCCTACTGTTTTCATGTTATCTTCAAAAACAATGGTCTTCTAGATACATTGTACTTAAATTACTTTTTGAAGCCAGTGAATGATTCTGATGTAATTTCTCCTCTTTAAGGATCAGCTGGTGTTTCTCCTTTTTCTTTCTCTACAGAAAAGTTAGTATCAGTTTGAAAATCAAATCAAATAAAAGCCCTTCTGAGAATAAATATAGAGACAAATTTTATGTGCTGCAGGAGAAAAAAGGATATTGTTGTTAAAAGAATTGTATCATATCAGAATTTTATGTTATTACCCAGAGTGGGTGCATCTACACGTGTGCTTTACTGCGAAGCTGACTAATTAGCTCTACAGTAAAGCATCACCGTCTACACATCTGCCCTTATTACAGCACTGTAAATTAATTAACTCTGCTGTGGGATAGTACTGTCCGAGACAAGCACTATCCTACAGCTGAGTAGTTATGTGCACTGAAACACGCACATTAACAGTGACCAGGGCTGGCTGGGGCACAAGGGTGCTAGTGTGGGGCTGCTAGCTAGCCCTGTGCTGTAGCACCTTCATGGCCCAGCCAGCCTCTCTGTAGCTCACTGAGCCAGGTCAGAGCAGCCCCAGACTGGCAGGCTGACCCCCTCCCTCCCTCCCCACAACTTTCTGCCAGCTGGGGCTGCTCCAACCTGGCTTAATGGGCTGCAGTCCTGGGTGCACATCTAAACACTGTGCCCAGGAGAAATAAACTCTGGTGCAAACTGTGCCAGAGTTTATTACTATGTGCTAATTGCTCGTATAGATGTACCCACTGTGAACAAAGATCAGCATTAAAAAAAATCTACTGTATGCATAATTATCACATTGTGATATGTGAGACGCTGTCAGAATAAAACCCTTAGGAATTTTCCCATAAAAATCATCTTTGAATGCAGATTGAATACTGAATATTTTCTGTCTATTTTTTTTTAGTAATAGTATGTCTGTTAAAACAAAAAGATAGCAGGGGTCATAGATTCCATGATTTCCATCTCTCTTAAAAAGCACACAAGTTTTATCATGCTCTTCCCAAGCTATTTGGGTGCTTTTGCAGGAGGCTAAGAGCATTTGTGATGGTAAGCAATCAAAGCAGCAGCACTGGGCACCATCAC